GGTTGGGGTTGGGGTTGTTGGAGGTATGCTTGTTGCTGTTGCTGTTGGGGAAGTCCAGCAGCAGGCGCTTGAGTGGTGAGGAAGGGGTTCCGGGTGCCTGTGGAATAGAGGTCTGTGGGTTGTTGTGGTTGCATTGTGGTGGCATAGCCAGGGGCCGGTGCCGGTGCTGTTCCCGGGCCGGGAATCGCCCCTGCTGCATTTGTGGGCTGAGAGTGCTCTGACGTTACCGATGGTGGTGGAGAAATGCCGTACAACGACAGAATGCTGTTCTTGTCCATGCGGCCGGTTGGCTGTGGGGCTAGATGCTGCGCGGGCGCCTGCAGGCCAAGTTGTGATTGCACTTGGTACCCCGCACTTTGCGGGGTTGGCGGCGCTGTCATAGGTTGGAATGGATTGTGGGATGCTTGCATCTGCTGGGGCGGTTGGACTTGGAGATGGGGCGGTTGAATTTGTTGCGGCTGTTGCTGCTGCTGGAACGGCGACGCGGTACCGAACGGGGAGGTGGATGATATGGCCGGCATGGTGTTGGCATGTCGAGGAGGATGAGGATACCCGTCCGAAGCCTGACTTGGGGGTTGCATCGAGTTGAGTTGCGAAGGGGGTTGGGTGAAAAAAGGATTTGTCTGCAGCTGAGCGACACCGGGGTTTTGGTTGGGAGCTGCCGTGAAGCTACCGGATTGGAAGAACGGGTTATGACCACCATCAACAGGTTGCGGTGACTGGACAACAGCACCTTGGGAGATTGTTGGCATCACAGGGGGTGTCATCGGCTGTTGGTAAAGAGACTGAGGGAAAGATGGCTGTTGGTTGGGATAGCCCCCGGTTGAGTGTGGGAATAACGGTTGCGAGACCTGAAGGTGTTGGAACGACGCCTCGAGCGTCTGTGCAGCAGGTTGCGGTGTAGGAACATCGAAAGGGTTGTAGGACTGCCCAGCAGGTTGAGCCGGCTTGGAGTCTAACTGATCAAAAGGATTGCTGGAGGCTGGCTGTCTAGCAGTATCATTGGCCGTGGTTGTTTGAACAGGCGTTCTGCCCTGCAATGATGGGGGACCCTCCCCCAGTCTGACCAGAGTCTCGATTGATTTGTCGAGATTGCCGTCCAAGCCCTTTAAAACGGCAGAGTTTCGATACTCATTGGTAAAGCCCATACTCCGCAATGTGGCCATCTGAGACTCATGGGATGCATTGCTACTGCCAAAAGAAGCCCCCATACCCTGTGAGACTGCTCTGTGCGATTCATAGGTTTCAGAGCGGGGGGACATGGCTTGCCGGTTGGACAGTCGATGGAGGCTGGTCGTAGACGAGGCCGATCGCAAGCCGAACCCAAAGGGCCGGGCAGGCTTGGGGGGAAGGGGAGGAGGAGATCCTTCTGGAGAACGATCATCGCGAGTACCTTGACGACTAGGGGGTTTTGGTTTGCCTTCTTCTAAGGTCCGGTACTGGTACTTCTGACGAATAAACCGTTCCATGCATGCGTCGGACTCGTCGACGTCAGCAGGAACAGGGGGCTTCACGTTCCGAGGGTTAAAGATCTTGTTCATGAGGTTGTTCCCGTGCGATTTCATGTTCTGAGAAGGAGTTTCCCTCAACGTCAGCTCCAGGGCACTGTATAGCAAAGGCTCACGCGACCACTCACATCGACCTGTTCCGTTGTCCAGCTATCCATACTCAAGGATTTGACCTTTGAGATATGGGTGCCCATCTTGCGGTGCAGCGTGGCGCACCGCATGCACAGGAAAATACCCATCTATACACATTATATCAGACTCCTGCGTACTTCCGACACGGGGGGAATTGCAAGCACCAGCTGGTGATGATATACATACATTCCAACTGGCCCATCCTATCAAGAAACATCATACGTTAATCTCGTAATGTTCCAGAAGCGCAGAAACCAAGACATCCCGCCGGACTCACCTGGATTCATTGCTTGGCAATCGGCGCATCGGTCATTGCCAGGAACCGACCGAATGAGGTCTTGCAGTGCCCGCTCATTGCGGAACTGCTGACGTTTGCTGATACCGGCCACCATGATCACGGAAGGTCTCGGCGAGGGCGAGAAGTTACTTGAAATTTCCCCGCACAAAGACTGTGATACTTGTCTAAGCCCGTCAGGGGCAAGAATGATAGACGAGAGAAAGCGTTAGTGTAGCGTTAGGGGATTCAAACACGGCAAACGGGCCGAGCTTCCCGAGTACAAGCGGTTGGAAATGTTTTAGGCGAAGAGGCAAATCATATTTCGTTCGACCGGACAGTATTCTTTTTTCTTTTTTCTTCTTTTTTCTCTGGACTGGTTAATTCCCGCAGATCCAAACAATATATATGTACTAGGGGTAACCGTAAACACTAAGGAAGAAGAAAGGGATATGTGTGCGTCGAGGAGTAAAAGGAGAAGAGGATGAGATGTGCAGTGGGTGTGGGGAAAGGAATTGATCATTAGTGGTTCCTAAGGCAAGGAATTACTGTATTGGTCTGTATCCATCATTCATATAGCGCGGGTTTGCCAGGCCCAGAGTGGGTGGGTTCCTCTGCTTACTGACCGGACCAAATGCCCGTTTTCGAATCATTTTAGATTGCACAATCACCACAAATTCAAATTTAGAAGACTCCATTCGACTCCAATAATTCCCACATGGACCATGCTTGCAACCTATTTTTATGATTCGCTATCCATCAATTCCACCTCTACGCAGGATGCACACACACACCCATTCAATAACTATCGATATGTCTATGTTTATTCATAGCCTGAAACAACAGGGTCCCGTATATAGAACGGTTCTCCACTCCTCATATCAAACAGCAACTGAGCAGGAGTAGAGCAGCGTAGAGAGACCTAGAATTGCATATACTTGGATGGTCCAGGGAGGGAGAAGTGAGTCAGACCCACATGGTTGGCGATGGGAGTTTTCTCTTCCACTAAGATAGTATTCTTCAATTCCCAACTTCATGTTTATATCGTCCTATTTTCTTCCTTCTGGCTGGCCATGTGCAAGACTTGCCTCGTGCTCAACATCTCAGGGCCGAAGTACTCATCAAACACAACGGGGGAAACTTTTAGTGCTTGAACGAAGACATGGCTACTTCAAGTCCTTGGGAATGTATTGAGAATAAACTACCTACGCATTAGAATACAAGGGGAGTGTCCAAGCTCGTAAAATTCCACCCAATCGAGTCACATGATATCATTGAGAAAAAGAGAGAGAGAAAAACAAGCAGTCGAGAAACGGGCAAAGAGCCGACGAGATAGCTTTCGCCCCCTCGAAAAGCCAAATCGCTAAGGAAATAAGAAGTCAAGTACTGTTCTACACAAGGTGAGCCACCTGGAGGTTCTGCACAGAGTCATTCACCTCATGCTCAGGCTGGGGAGGGTGATACAAACCCGAACCGACTAGGCAGCTGCAGTGCCATTGACGGGGGCTTGTTGGTAGTAAGCGTAGGGGTTGGGCTGCGGTGTGGGAGCCGCGGGGGGTTCAGGGGCGGGGGTAGCTTGGTTAGCGCTTGGAGGCGCTTGAGCTTGAGCTTGGGCTAGGGCTTGGGCTTGGGCTTGGGCCGCGGCGCCGGTCTTTGCATGAGCAACAGATGCTGGGCCATGGACTTCGCGATCCAGAGTCATGTACTCCTTCGCCGCGTCCTTGGTCCCTCGCTCAAGCAAGTAGACCATATAGATCTGCACTAGTTCTTTCACAGCATCTGGAGTAAGAGTACTCTTAGACCGGATGTCATCGATAACTTGCTTAATGCGCTCGTATTGGACATTCTCCGCCTCGGAGCTTGTGGGCTGCTCCAGCTCGAATGTAAGATAACTCGTCCAGAATGGCCGGCTGTCAAGGTAGAACTGTTGGTTCTGTTGATATACCTGCCGGGCCTCCTCTGCCGAGCCCTTAATCTTCCACAGGAGCCGGGCCCATTCCGCAACGAGAGCCGCCTTGGTGGCCAAGTCACATTGCGGCGAGTCGAGCTGACTCTTGTACACCTCAATTGCGGCTTCGAGGCCACCGTGACGGCGAGACATATTGGCCAGAGATACAATTGTTTCAACGTGATTGGGGAGATGAATGAGGATGGCGCCGTGAATTTCTTTGGCTACATCTACCCGTCCTGACATCTCCTCGAAGTAGGCATATTGAAGGCGAGTAGCCGGGTTGGCAATCGGCACATACAGATAGCTTGCGCGTTGGTAGATGTTCCGCACTTCCTCCTCCTTACTGGGCTGTGCAGCCATCCACCGGGCATAGCGTTGCCAGAACTCGTCGTAGTGGGCGCACGTGACCAGACAGCGCTCATACAGGAACTGAGTACGTGGGTATGAACCCTCGGTCTCCTCAAAGTCCAGGTATTTTCTCCAGTTGGACAGCTGACCCTCATCCAGCTCAGTCACATGGAAGTATGGACGCTTGATCTCGGACTCATATGTCCAACGCTTTGTGGTTTCCGTCTGTGTCTTGGAGAAGATTTCGAGATGGTGACTATCAACACGCAGTCGGATGTCCCTCTCGACCTCGGCCTCGGCCTTTGCGCCCGGGGCAACCTGTCCGGAAGCAGCATCAAGCTCCGCACGGAATTGAGACAGTGTCTCTGGAGGGGCTAGCTCTACGACCGGACGAGTCTGTGCGAGCTGCCTATAGCGCTCAAAGTAACGAGCGTATTGATGCATTGGGATGTGGATGACACGACCAAGAATGGCAAAAATCTTGTCAAAGGCTTCCACTCGCTCCTCAAACTCGATATACTTATCCCAGAATGGATGTGCAAGGAAATCTAGGCCAACACTGCTAGCTCCACGCTCAAATAGCCTGCAAAAGTAAACAGATGTTAGCAATTTAAGTTCGCCAGCCACGGGCATGGGATGGGAGGGCGAGAGGCAAAGGGAGTTGGCAAGGATGGCAAACATGAGCATTTAATCTTCAGTGCGAGCCCAAACAATTGAACGACTAAGGTGAGCAAATTGTGAAAACGTTTCCCCCGTCTGCATCGTGCGCAGAATAGGATCCACCGGACAGTCACTGGGCTTGATATTCGTGCAAGGAATGATGCTTGGTCTGAAAGCAACAATGTTCAAGGGCAAGGAAACAGCCTGAGAATGTCATGGGTGAGAAGTAACTCCAGTTGAATCCGGGTCAGGCAAACATCTCACCCATCATTGAAGGGAACTGTTGTCAACGCTTTTTGCATTATGCGGTTTCGACACCACAATAATGTTCGTGCTGCCTTGGTAACGGTTACAGGGGGGAGGAAGGAAACCAGCTCTAATATACTTACTCTCGAATGACGTCGGCATCATGGGAAGTCTCTGCCTTGAAGGAGCAATAGTTGGTCCAAAGGTCGACGGATGGAGAGATGCTGGCAACACCTCGTTCGTAAACCTACAGAATCAGCGATGAACACCCCCAAGAAAAAGAGGCTAGAGTGGTAGATAATCCCATACCATGTCTGCTGCCTCCGTTCCGGTAATAGAGAATTCTAGGTCGGCATATTTCTTCCAGTATCCGAATAATAGTGGAAACTTGGCGAGGAATCTGTCATAGACATTCCGGGCAGTGGTGATAGCTTGAGGGTTGGAGTTGCGGTTGATTCCTCCTTCAAGCGCCTCACCAGCGCGAACCAGTCGTTCCCAGGTCTCGAAGTTATCCGGGTCATCAACCTATATTGGTAACAGACTGTAAGTCATGGGCTGCATAGGTCTAGAACAGGGAATAGACGTATCATACCAACTCGGCCTCAAGTTTCCTCAACTCCGCATTTTCCTCCTCAGAGCCTCCATAGTTGTAATCTGCCATGATGGCCGTCGGTTGTGAACTAATTATGGCGCTTAATGATGCGCAGGGTATAGAATCGCACTCAGCGATGAGAGATATCGATCACGGTGCAAATAGAAAGAAAAACACAAACAGGACAGGCAGGACAGGAGACTGGACGTTAGGTTCCGCAAGGGAAGAGATCAGAACTCTCCAGCCACACCCGCGCCCTTTTTACTTTTTGCCGAGCCTCACCCAAAACTGGCTTAGCGCCCATTTCAATTTCTCCAACTCGGACGAGCATCTGGAAGCACTCCCCGTGATCAAATCAACGAGAACCCATTCCCACCCTCTGACCCGATCGGAATTTTGTCTCGCCCCGGAAAAGAGCAGGTGCGACAAAATCTTCCATTATGTCGACCACCCAAGCAGCTGGCAGCTTGGTGAGCAAGCTTCCCCAACGACTACGCAACTTCTTTGCCCGCTATCCTCCGCAAATCTATTCCGCGGCCGTGGCACCACGCCCAGAGCCCACAGAAGAAGTCAATGCAGAGTCTCTGCCATCGCCCTACACACCCAACAGAGATGCGAAAGGCCACAAGCGGCCAGACCCCACCGAGTTCTCTCCGTCCCGAGCTCTTCTTTACTCCGACCCAGATCATCCCAACCCATTTTTGCCTCGCAAGAACTTCCGCACGGGCAAGTGGATTGGCCCCCGATATGGGCTTCGGACACAGGCCGATCTGGTGAATCTGGCCAAAAAGTACAACGTTGAGGCTTTACTACCTCCAGGCCGCAAATCCACCGAGTTCAAAGAGACGAGAAGGGAAGAGCGCGGATTACAGATCAAGGGTACCGGTATTGGACAGAAGGTCAAGGGTCACAAGTGGGAGCGGACGATGGAGTCTCGCTTGGAGGACAGACGCAAAGCTATGATGGAGATGCCGGAGATGATTCGGTTGTGGAAGCAGGTGAGTTTTCAATCTCGACGGGAAATGTTTCCCCAGACGCTGACGTTTTGGCTCGCAGAGAGGTCACGGTCGTGGCTGGAAGCAATGGCCCAAGAGGTAAATACATTCCTGGATACCTTTTTCGCTGCTGTGAGATTTTATGTAATGTTATATCTTTTGCCGGTCCTCAGATCACACGGCTCCATTGATCATTGTCGGGGTTTGGACGGGAGTTCTTGTTCTCATATATGTACAAATAGATATTCATTAAATTTACACATTGGACGTAGACACACTGTCCATCTTTCGATAAATGATGCTAGCTACTGTTTTTCTTGATGGGCGATTCTCTATCTAGAGAGCAAAGGCTTTAGGAGTAATGCATTAATTCTTTACATACGACTAAGTTAAGAAATCTGCGGTGTCACAATATCACCTACCATAACAGTGCAAGATTTAGGATTGCCAGCATCCTGCGAAAGCTCCATTTTAGATAGAGAAGCGTGCCTTCCAAACACGATCTTGCTGTTGATCTTCCTCGTCTTTGCCAGTGTCGAATAAGGCTCCTCTCGACGGGTGCCAGTATATGGGTCAACGCATACCATCTGACACCGTTGACATGATCCGAGCACATCAAAGTACAACTCTTCCGGTCCAACAGAGAATGACCCCCAGGTGTCTTCTATATATGGACGCTCAGCGTTGGCTAGCTGGTGAAGATTCTCAGCGACGACAATATTGGCGCGGAAAACATCGGCTTCTACGGCCCTTGCTGGAGTGCTGTGGCTAGGTCTGGGGCTGTACTTGATGTTTTCGTTCAGGCGATTGACTGACGAGCGAGAAATGAGGAGGATTGGGCTCTCGTTGGATAGGAGTATCGGTGGTTGTTCAGGCGACGGTGATGGATCTTCCGGGAAAGAGCCAGGCATGAGGGCTCTCTGGTTTCTTCTAGATGAACGAGTGGGATTTGAAATCCTAGTGGATATTTGTGGCGGGAACCTTGCAAGTGTACACGGTACACCAAGGAAGTTAGAGAAGAAAGAAGCTACGGTATGTGAGGAATAGGCCTGGACAACCACTCGGTCACCGCAGACGTTGGAGGATTTCGCGCTCTGACACAGCGATGTGGTGACTAGATTAGTGATTTCGCGGCGGAGGGAGACCTCTAGTTCTTTTGGGTCCGACCCACAGGTAATGCGAAGGACACCACGCTCCAGGTCAATGACCGGCCGTATCAGCGCCATGCGGGGATATTTCTTCATACTGAGAGCGGCGCCAGTACCTTGATGGATAAGGCACCATTCTCGATCCCATGCGAGACCTTCTCTTTTAATCTCCCAACGTTGGCCATCAGGAACTTTGAACGCTCCACAGCTCTTGATCGGATACACCGAAAGACTCTCCACGTAGAAGCTAGGCTCTTGCAAGCTAACTTCCATCGGTGGAACCAGAGATATAAAGTCCGGTGCCTTTTCGATGTAAAACTCGTCAATGAACCTCGTGAATGTGTCAATATCCCTAAGGTTAGAGACCGCACCGAGACTGACTCTTAAGATGCCAGTCGGCCTCCCGTCCATGACGTCGTGATCATCACCACAGCGCAGTCCAGCGGAGAAGTTCCGGAGCAATTCAGGCCCAGTCCAGCCAAGGCTAGTTGCAGTTCCTCCCGGGTTGCAGTGAGATCCTGACCGGATATGTATCTTCTTGACATTCGCGAGCCTCTCAACTTCAGACTTTCCAACCCACGCACCAGAGCTATTCCGTATGTTGAACGCAATGATCGGCCCTTGGGTGAGATTGTCAAAGTCTGATTCTGGGGACATGTACAAATGGCAAACTTTCTTCCCATTGAAATGGGTCATCGCAGCCAACCGGTTGTGTAGCCGCTTTGCCAGGTACCGCGTGTGGGACGAGACATTACTCATCGATCCAAAAAGACGCTCATGTGCAGACAATGCAGAATCAAGCGCAATAATATTATGGAACGGCAAAGTACCATCCTCTAAGCGCTCGTGAATCGTGGACTTCTTTGCATGCCATGGTGTTCCTTGGGCCAGGACCATATCAACTGTCCCGCCGCCGAAGAACTTGCGTTTCTCAATGATGCCTGCCGCACTTTTGCGCACTATCAGGGCACCGAGATCGGGAAATCCGAAAATCTTGTAGAAACTGAGCGCTGTAAAATCAGGCGCAGCAGATGCGTCACTCAGGTCAAGGGGTGAAGTGGAAACGAGCGATGCAGCATCAAGCAGGGTATAGACATTTGCCGCACTCGAACTCTCATCCCGTATCTTCTTACACCACTGCATAGGACAGCGACAACCGTTCAAATTGGACTGCCCAGGGTATGCAAATAGCTTGGGAAAGTTCTTTTGATCGGTGGCCAACTCCGATATCCACTGCTCGACCTCACCACTGGTCAGGAAGCATCTATGTCCCTTTTCTGCAATCTCCCGCGCTCCTACCAAGCTCGTATGCGCATCTATAAAGTATCCATACCAAAATCCTTGTGGCGACGAGTCTCGGAACACATCTGCCACTAACTTGATGGCAGCTGTAGCATTCGCTACGAATACGAGATCAAACTCATCCGGATCCGCATTAAAAAAGCGAAGTGCCCTGAGGCGGATATCATCAATGCGCTGTGTAGACAGCTGGGATGATGCAGATCGAGAATGAGGATTGCCGAAAAGGTTCGAAGTCAGATCGCGTGCGAAGGAGTCAATCAATGACTTGGGATACAACGTTGTGCCGGCATGGTCTAGATAGGTCGTATCTTGATACAATGTTAGCACAATTCTGGATATGTCTCAGGCTTCTAGGAGTTCAGTCGCAAAGGCCCACCTTTGAGGAAGGGATACTCCCGCTCTCGGATGACGTCCACGTCCTCCGAGTAACCGGTACAGTACTCCGCACGGCTCTCGGTTTTGCCTTTGGCTTGCATGATTTCACGTAGTGATAATGTCAAAGATATTTGAGCAGTGCCAGTGTCTCTTGCCAGCAACAAGTGGCCTTTATAAATGCCCGGGATGAGGAAGAAATGTGCCGGTAGGGCAAGGATCAGTGGCGACAGGTGACCTTGTGAGGGATAGAACGTTGGACCTGGCCAATCGTCGTTCGAACTCTTGGAGACAACATCAGGCGTGATAGCCGTAGACGCTGATGATGCAATGTGATCCAGGTGCTATGGGTGTAACTTGGTCTAGAAATCGTGATATGTCGCGGATTAGCGGTGGATAGGCAGGAGTCGGGGGGTGCTGATACGTGCATGGAAGTCGCCATCGGAGGTCACCGAAGCGGAACTCCTCTGTCCCAATTTTGGTCTCTCGTCGCAGTAATGAGGAGCTGACAATTCGGGGTGTCGGATAGAGGGCCATGTAACCCTAGAGCCTGCATCACGCTGGATTCAAAGTAGGATGAGGATTTCAACCAGCAGTCACATTGATGGAGAGAAGAGATGTGATGGGAATTCAGCTGCCCCACTGTTCATGGGGTCCTTATCGGTCGCGGGGCGATCGGAAGCCACCGCCTCCGGGAACGTAGATTGGAGGAATACCCGCCACGCTAACGGGAACTATATACTTCTATCACAATGTCGCCCTGCTTGAGGCTGCCTGAGCAGTTCGTCGCTAAATGAACTATACTCTACATGCTCACGAGCTAATGTAGGGATCTTCCCGGTAATCCACATGTGCGACCTGAAAATCCCATTCCGGACCAATGGATATATATCTCGGGTACCCAGTCGTCTTGCTGACGGCCTAGTGCTTAGGTGAAAGCATGCTCCGAATTATTATTGAAAGGTCAATTAGATGAAAATCATGAGTCATAATATCACAAGGAAAGAAAAGCTGTGCAGAATCAGGCAGAATCTGGTTGAGCCTGTGGGACGTCTGGCCCCAAAAACAACGTATACAGAGCATCACAGGGTCAAAGAAGAGCACCCGACATGGACAAACGCCGCTATTGGGTCCAAAATTCAATAAACAGAAAGCGTGTTGTCTTCCAAATAGTATCATAATCATCACATCACTGTCACATCTCGTAGTTTCATTACCAACCTTCGTTTGTCTTCCAGTGGGGCGTCGTTTCCTTTTCCCTTCTTTTTTCTTTTTTCTTTTTCTTTTTTTTTTGCCCTTTTTTCCTTTTTTCTCTTTTGTCTGATTTTTTTTCCTTTAGCGCTTTTGGCTTCCCATTATCTATGTCATCCAAGTCGTATCCGTAAATCATAAACTGCTCAAGGAAAGTAATGCGGGAAAATAAGCGAAATGGAGGGAATAAGATTAAACCACATACTGTGGCCGGCGATGGCTGGAGCTCCGACGGTGTCCATGTCCACGCCGACTGCTGTGACTTCTCCTCCGGATTGTCGTTGTCTCCTTAACAACCACATCGGACCGAGTGTGCAGGAAAAGTGCCCAAAAGGCGGTCCAGAAGAAGAACACAACCTCCATGATGCCCAGCGCAAAGCAAGTCTTCAACATCGCACAATGTTTGTTAACCTGCAGGGCCAGCGGATTGCCTGTGCGGTAACCATAGGCTCCAAAGGGGCCAAGAGAGACCCACACAGAGCCCCCATCCCAATGGGAGCAGTTCGCATTTGCGATGAAGCGCAGTTGGTAGACCCCCGCAATGAAAGCGCCGAAAAAGAGGAGGTCGACGAAAGCGACAAAGGCGGCTGAGCGCTTAGTGGTCGCGTGACGGATTAATGTGTCAAAGCACCAGAAGACTGCGATAGTGCTGACGATGAAAAGTACGAGGATGTAGGTCGGGGTGATCACATTGGCCTTGAGATATCCGTCGATAAAGTAAGCCTGTTTTGATGTTAGAATCTAGGCCCATGCCAGTGAAAGGAGGCGGGTGCGTCTGGTATGTCAGCCTTACCAGCATTCCAATGATCGGTATCAGGAAAATAATCTCCACGAGGCGGTTGCAAATGAAGAAAAAACTGCCGATCATCTTGATAGCCTTTCCACACGACGATCGTCGGTGCTAGCTTACAACAATTTCGAGATGTGAGTAGGGATACTCGATATCGATTAAGAGGAGTCTTGAATGGTCGTAGTTGAGGAGCTATAGTGTCATCCCAGATGTGATGAATAGGTTCTCGTATAATGGGCCGTCGCTAGATTGAGATCGGGACCTGGCGTTGACCGGGAGATGGACCGTATGGTTTTCAACTCGCCAACTCAATCGCACGAGGAAAGACAGAGACAGATTCTATGCAGAGACAATTATGCAGGGTTCAGAGTAAGGGGCTCAATGGAAGGAAAATAAGAAGAAAAATAATGCACGTTGGAGTCATGGTCGAATGAAGGTGGCTGGTAAAATGCGACTGCGGGGTGGCTGGGAAACGGGAACATTGCGCCCAACAAACGGTAAAACGGTGGATTAGTACCCTAGAATACTACATGACTTTGGAACGATTAGTGCGACCTCGTGCAAATCCTGGTCAATGGGAAAGAACAACACTACCCCTGATTCATAGACCTCGTGGTGCATCTGCGAGCAAGCACTTGTTCACTGACACCATTGTTTGTTTGGGACGTGGGGCGGCCACGAGGTTCTAGAGCCACGGTTGATGACCTAGCTTATCTATCGCTTACTTTTATCACATCTTAAAACTATCAAGTAAACAGATGAGTGGGAAAAAGCATTTATCGTGCCGAACGCCATTATTCATACATGTTCATGCGGTATCACAGAAGTTGACAATGCAAATCAATTGCGATGTCTAGAACTCAGAATATCTTCTACTAAGCATATACACCAGCCAAGCTCCGAGATATATCCAAGTATGGCCATAACCCAACCCCAGACAGTTGTGAAAAGTTGCGTAAATCCTCTTAAACCCCCTCACCTTATCCAAAAGAAAGTCATCATGTTCGTGGCACTGGCTGTAAGCCAGAGTGTTTCTTATAAGGTTCATCTTAAAATGCTCGTGGTGGCACGTCCGTCAATTCCCGTTCGCCGCCGGAGCCAACAGTCGTTACCGGTGGGGGATAAGACGTGCTGACCCCTGTAACTTGGGGTTGTATCTGGGAGTGATATGACGTATCCGTCTCGTAGCGAGGAAGATGTCCGCCGTTTGTCGGATTTTGTGTCCGAGCGTAGCCATGTTGCATTTCATATCCATCTGCAACGTCCTCACTTGAAGACGACCAATGCCCGTCATCATCACGACTATACATATTCGTGGCATACGGGTTGTTTGCTGGAGGCATATACCTTGAGGCGCGTAATTGAGTGGGGTCTCTAGTGTCAGGTACGCCGGATGCATCAAGCCTCTCCTCCTCAGGATTCCGTAGAGCGACAGTGCTTTCGTTAGTGGCTACAAGAGGGGCAGCATCGCTTGGGGCGACCGGATCTCTACCCCAAGACCGAATCGGATAAGCTCGCCCCTTTTTCCAAGGCTCTGTGATGGAGGGGAAGTACTGGCGGTATGCGATATAGGCACAGACAATGCCCAGAAGGGAGCCAGTAATCACATCAAAGGGATGGTGTCTCGCGTCCATAATCCGACTCACTGCAACAAGAGTGGCGCCAATACAAGGAATAATGATTATTATAGCCTTCCAAACCTCGCCACGGTTGTCCATGAAATGCAGCTTCCCGCAAAGCCATAGTGTCAGATAAAACAATCCGGCAAAGGAAGCTAAAACAACGTCAGTAAAGATCACCTCCAGATATAGAGGGTTACTCACAGCTGCTGTGCCCTACAAAAAGAATTAGCATCCAAAAAATAGGACCATATTCGAAAGGATTAGGTCATACCTGAAGGCCAAGAACGAAAGCCATCCTTGATGATTGCCGGATCACCCGTACAGATTGTGTAATTCGACAAGCCACGGAATGGATCCTCGCTTCCTGGTCGGGGTTGGCATCGATCGATGATATCTGGTCTGGGTTTGCCGCAGGCATTTTTGAGAACTTGGGTAATGAGAAACGCAAGACCTTGGGACAGTAGAAGGCCAAGAAACCCGCAATTGAATTCCCACAGTCGGTCTTTAAACCGGTATGGGCCTGTCAGCTTCCTTTTCCCAGAAGTTGGGTCCACAGGTTTGTTATGAGAAAACAACCCATCGATCAAGAGCGTATAGACCGCAATTATAATCAAAGGACCCACGCCGGAGATGCAAAGGGCGAGTGGGATGGGTACGCGCTCATGGACAGCGTAAGGGTACATAAGGGATATATTGTTCAAGGAGAAATGCTGATGATAAGGCTCAATAGAGTCGATGATGTAAAAACCGGCGATACATGCGCTGCAATCGTGACATTATCTCGTTAGCATAACCTCGGAGGTGTATAACAGGCGGTCTGGGCTGCACGAACATAAGAATTACATAGTCAAGGATGTATCTGCAAATGCCGAATCATGGTTAGCAACATGCGCAGGATATTCATGAAGAATAATTAGACCGAGACCCACGAGATAACAATGCGCGGCCTTAACCGCCGCTTTGAGAACGGCAGTTTGGAGGGAAGGTGGCCCATTGTGGTGGAGATTCGTTGGGATCAAATATAATCATAAAATTCCATAGAGGAGCGCTGAGAATCAGATTTTTGTCAGCTCCTCTGTTCAGCCAGGGACGGCGACTCATTATAGCTGCGGTGAACACACCTGAGATGCTAGGCAGCTTTAGCGCTGTACACCAGTTGGATAAATCCAGGTAACCGTGATCCTGCGCGGTGACAGCCGGATAATCAATCAAGGAATGTAGCCCCCAAAGTGAGGTGAGAGTTCATGTAAGCACAAAAAGAAGAAGGAGAAGAAGACGTTCAAAGAAAAAGAAAGTCTGGATACAAGGAAGAAGACAAAAGGATCATATTAAGTTGGTCGCGAATTTACCTCAATTGGGTGCCGCCTAAGGCAACAGGCGAGTGAAGTGGTTTGGATGGCTTAGACCTCTTTCAGTTGTGGGCACGCGAGTTAAATTAGAGGCCGAGAAGCGCCCAGACTCTCGGCCCCAAACTACGCCCAACCACAGATGGAAAACGCTGCAGATCCACAGCCGGGGACCCTGAGCGGAATGAACATTCATAACAACCAGTGACCATACTATTCTTATTATTTTTTTTCCTAAATGAAAAGAAATAGTGTGGATACACTCTTTGTCCCCTATAGGCAGCTATATTCGCAGGGTCATGTATTGGTTTGTGTATTGGTTTACTACCATGCCATGTTGCCTAGTCGCTAAAGCTTGCGTAAAGAATAATGGCTCGTCTGTTAATCCCCATAATTACCCACTTAGGAGGTTTCACCGGTTGTCAGCAGGATCTGCAAATTGGGCTTTCCCGCCCTCTGGGGACTCAAAAACATAACCTAACCTGAAGCAATGCTTTTTACAGTCTTGGTATCATACCTCTACTTTGTTGACCTCATTATTGACTTCACCTAAAAGATTTTTACTCACGACGCTGTCGCTCTTCGTACCGCCAGTTTTTTTTTTTACTGCAAAATAAAATATAAGAGGTGAATTATATTCAAAGAAATGAACCCTTGAGCATTGTAATATACACTTCAAGAACTACTACAAAAGTCAAGGAAAGTTTTGCCCATTCGAAAACCGCATTAGAATATCTGCCCAGCCCGGCCACTGGAAGGAAACAACCTTGCTGAAATATAAAAGGAATATTTTCGAATGATTAAACACAATGAGTCCCGTGAATCATGTTCGCATTATGTCAGACTGTTAACTCTAGTCCGCTTACTCTAGCAGACGGTGATGTACAGACCGAGACTAGAATATTTGTTAGCCATTACCTCAGTTGGTTCAACGATGCAGGCAACTTACGGGGATGGGTTGTAGTCCTCAAAGAAATCCAGTTCGGTGCTGCCGGAGTTCTTCATTTGGTAGCTCACGGCCTGACCAGCCGGACATTCAAAATTTGAGATGAGATAGGAGTTACCGGGGGCGATAGTGAAGTCCCCATAGTCCTCCTTCACTGCCGGGGCGTTGTTGTAGGTGGTAGACTGGGTAGCAGCGGATTGGAGGGAAGCGAAGTCAACCTTGCCATCGCCGCTGAAGGAGTAAGACGAAGTCTCAAGATCCTCCTTCTTGGGAAAGAGGAAGACAAGGCTACACGTCTTTCCAGCGTCAGAGGGGGGATATCAAAGTTGAAGATGGTCGAGACGGTGGATGTGATGGTGCCATTGAAAGACGTGCCAGCGGCCGTATCGGGCGAGGTAGAGTCGATAGGGATGATCAAGTGGGGGTATTCATATTCTCCAGAGAGATCTGTGGGGCAACTCCCACCTGCAGTGGATGTTCCAGACGGCTGAGCGCTCGTAACAGTCTGGGAGGGCTGTCCGCTCGAAGTTCCAGGGATGCCAGGGGTGCCAGATGTGCCGGGAATAACTGGAACACTAGATGTGCCAGGGACGCCAGGGACGCCAGATGTGCCGGGGATAACTGGAACACTAGATGTGCCAGGGACACCAGGAGTACCAGACGTTCCAGGAACACCAGAGGTACCGGGGACTCCAGGAACTCCGGGGGTAGCAGAAGTTCCAGGAACGCCTGGAGTGCCTGGAGTGCCTGGAGTGCCGGGGGTACCGGGAATAACAGGCACAGTCGATGACTCGGGGCAGTAAGTTGAGGTCACAGTCGTGTGAAGGGTGACAACAGATCCACTGGACCCAGGAACCGGGGCGCTAGAGGATGGACCAGGCACAGAAGGTACAGAAGCACTAGAGGATGGGCCAGGGATAAGAGTACTGGAGCTAGGAACTGCGACTGAGCTAGAGCTAGAAACAGAGCTAGAGCAAGAGTCGGCAGACAACTCGATATCCTGGCATCCAGTCACATCGGAGCTCTCTGTGGTATAGATATTCAATCCGCCATTCTGGCCAGTCGCACATGCAACGAAATCCGCATCACCATTGTACGAGACTTGGCCCTGAGAGTTGATAGACCAGCCAGTCATAGGCGTGGCCCCTTCATCACACTGAAACTGTGTAGTTGGACCTACAGGACTTGTTAGTTGATCAGGAGTATTATCAAGGCTTGCGAGGTATTTTCGTACCAGTAATAATGCATCCACGACCGTTTCCATCAGTGAGAGCACCATTGGAGTCGATACAGAACTCTGCTTCCCCTAATCCACCGTAGATGCGGTTCTGTCCGTCGTCAAGCTGTCCGACAGTCCCAGAAGCACCTCCAGATGCAGTCAGGTGAAAGCAACAACTGCTACTCCTGCCAATAAGGGCATTCGCACCAGCAGCGAACGCCGCAACGGTAGCGAAGCTCTTCATATTAAGATTAGCGAATGAAGCCACTTTGTGAAAACGAATGGAGCAGTCAAGTCTTAGTAAAGACTGTCTCGGGATTATTGAGATTGAATTAAGGAGTGTAAACAAGAAAGAGCAGGGTACGCAATATTTATAAAGAGAGGTGGGCACGTCAAAAAACGTCATACTATGTAGTAAAACGTCCAGTTTACGAACGAAGCAAGTGAGTCGAATCTAAGGCAACCAGCTCCACATGTAGATCGAATAAATAGAAACAGATATGGCCAGTCACAATGCATAAGGCAGAAGTACTGAACCATGGACAAATAGGGTGGAGGCGCAACTGACTGGGTAAACAAGCTAACAACTGTCCGGTGAAGCCGGTCAGGCCTGGAAGCTTCGGAATTGCAAGGAAATGACGACGACGTCATACAAAGAAAAATCACCGTGGAGAAGCAACCCCATAGAGGAAACAATCTGAGTGTTGGCTATGAGATCCAAGTCATATCAGTGGCCAAAAGCAGTGTAGAGCAATGGGCCCACGGTGGATCCAGCCCCATCGAACACCATGCCCTGATCTATGACCCCAATTACACGGTTCGAAAAAGGCACTCGTAGCAACCCAAGTGGCAATGGTCTACCATCCACGGTACAGCTTTCATTGTAGCCAAACATAGGCTCAAGGTGTCAAGGCCACCATGGATCGCCGGTTCTATTCATAACTACCACCACTGACTAAGGCATTATACTGCGTATACGGAATGGACATCCCGATCAAAAACGTACCAAACTTTACAACGCCCCAGAGACGAGGTGGTGGGGGGTTATTCCCGGTGTCCCTCAAGACCTTGCATCATGATGTTGTTGTTGGCCATGGGTTCTTGCACTACATACTGTGAAGCGCGAGAGCGCTGTCGGTTGTGGTTAACCCGGCCCACCAGCCGCCTCCAACAGCATGGACCCTAACTCTGGACAGTGCTTGTGAGTCTTTTCATGGTGGATTAAACAATGGGTTTCAAGTTTGAAGAACGAAGAGTGGGTTGAAGTGGAATGGGGAAATCAATTCCCCGGGTAGAACAAGTGGGGCGTGGCGTCACTCTCAACGAATGGTGATACTTCTTGCTTCTGGCTATTCCTCTTTCGAGCCACACATGTCATCCTAATAGTATGACCGATATCGATGGTCAACTAAACGGCTCAGTCCCTGTCAATGGGGAAGGTCTCAACGTCGATCGGGCTCGCCACGTAATGTCAGATTGTTGATTCCCTAGGATATCATTCTCGCTAGGCAACCTCTCAACTAGTCTTGGACATTATGGAATCATTGCCTCAGACAACTACTACAGTAATCACCATCCTCATGTATATATAGAAACACGGCTGGAAGTAACCCAAACCGGTCATATTGTCTAGTTGTCTAGACTTCTTGTTCTATGTGCTCTCACCTTGCAGGCCGATGTTTGGGCAACCTTGGTTCGGTTTTACTCCACATCAAATCCATGCCTCTTGGTAACAGCCCCGTTCTGTTTTTCTAGCGTCCAGGCGTTCCCCATATTCCCTTCAAGAGGGATACGAAGAATTTTTGGTCCCTCAGGGGACACATGGCCCAGGACCCCATTGTTTACCCAACACATCTGAAACACCTATCTGAAGATTTTTCATTCGATAAGCAGTACGATTGGCTACTTAGCCTTCTGTCCGTTAGATTCAACCACCCGCGCCGTTAATTCTTATTTCCATCATACTAATGAACTAAGACGCGTACTAGCTAGAAAGACCCCGCCGTCAATCGACAGTGGCGTGTATTAGACTACCCTCCAGTCCAAACAAGCATCTCAAGAAAATGTAAACTTTCCGTCAGCCTAGACAGCCTAGACAGCCAAGACAATGATGGCCCCAGTAGAAGCGGCATGGTGTGGCTCTCGCATTTCAAGGCAGCGAATACCGGTCAATCATCGAGATTCCCTTCGTCTGACTTTTTGCCTTCTCTGCGGCTGTGCGAGAGCCCAACATGTTGGGGAGCAAGGGGTCTGCATATGCGTGCGTAATCAGGGATGTTTTAGGGCTACTTCAAAACTCAACTCCGTCCCCTTGAAGTGGTACGCCATCACGCGCCACATATGGACTAATTGGGAGAGAACACAGTCTCTCGTATTGTGTTCTTGATTCATCAAGCGAGAACTCAATAGCCGAAACCCATGGGTCTCTGATCAAGTGTCATGCATCACATCAAAAACCTTGCATGTCAGTTTCCCAAGACGTTAGTCTATTAGATAGAATACTATGTATGCCCGTCCTACGTAGTGTGAGGGAGGTGTCTTTGTGTCTCAAAAGATGAAAATAATAAAATAAAAGGAAGAAAAAAGGACGAAAAACAGGCACTGTGATTCTCTATGTCAATTTCGTACTTTAGTGGGTGTAGAAGAAGTCGCTGTCTGTATATGTCACTGTATTCTTGAAAATATTGAAATATATAACATTATGTTCATATAATAATAGTTGATACATATACAGAGTTCTGGCAACTTTAGACCTATCGAGATCTAAGGACGAGTGTTAACACCTCCCAAGCCGCGTGACAATGCCACTGTTCCTTAGCTTTCTGATGTGATAATCCTTATATACATCTAAACGATCTCGTACGTCTGTTCGACAGTTCGATCTATCAAGGTGGTTTTATTTTCTTTTTTCTTTTTTCTATCACGTTTTCTCATTTAGTCACTCCGCAGTAAGAAAATTTTTGCGGGTAGATATGCTGAGGTCAGATTTGAATATATCTTTCTTAGCTTCAACTAAGTTTATGGATTCACGGGATTTTAAACAATTGTCTTAATCATATAACTACACGTTTGGCAAAACTCTTACAACAAATGAGAAACGAGAGACAGGAAAAAGTGAAATAATGAAAGAACTAAGATAAGAAAATCTGGAGACTGCCCGTTTTCCATGCGGTTTTTTGGTGTATCACTCACTCTTGAAGATCCCCATGCAAAGTAACTGTTATGGTCTAGGTTAATGATGGATTTTACTGTTATGTTGAGGGTGAAACGAAAACCACACTTCATTTGTTCCACACCACCACTGTTTGTAAGTACTCGATTGAGCCCAATACCTCCAGTAATGACATCGAAAGAAGAGGAGTCAGAGAGCCCTCAATTCTATATTGGAATTATTTAATGGGTATACCATTGAAAAAGGTATGCCCATCTGGCCAAGTACCCTTCGAAAAGGGCCCAGGGCAAAGCATAATTCCGTTGCTACGGGTCTTGAATTGTAGATAGCGAGCGTTTAAATCCAAGTGAATAAGGGTATCTGTTCTATTGTTTTCATAACTAAGTCATCCGAGCAGCTCGGAATCTGCTCACCCGTTTCGGAGGGTCTTCGGTTTCGATAGGCACTGTTTCCGGCTCCTCACCAACGAAGCCGCCGTTTTGCTGGATCATCCTGTTTCTTACCCGATAAAACTCGCTGGCAATCTCCTTCCTATGGATTTGCTCATCGATTTCATCTAGCTCGGGTGGCATGGCGGCACCTTGAGAAACCTCGTGCTCAACGAGTGTGTCGGCTAAGATCTTCCCCTCCGGTCCTCGGGGCTTCTCTGTGATATCCGGGATTGGCTGGGAGAAGGGTTTGGGTTCAGACGACTTGGCAGGGAATAATGGCAATGCAGGGGATGGTGAGATAATCGGTTTGCGGAGTGAAGAGCGTGCCTCAGAAGGTCGAATACTGTTCTCGCTGCCGGTAGTGCTTCGAGCACTCTTGAAGCGAGAGGTCTTCTTTGGAACATCGTTCGTGACTGGGCCCTTCACAGTTGATTGTGTACGCTCCACAACCGCATCTGAAAGGACAGGCACATCCGATTGCCGAGGAGCGACAGCCTTCTTCTCCGCAATCGGGGGCTTAGGGGCCGGAGCAATATCAAGATCCTCGGCGAAAGCAACTTTCTTTTTCGGCTTCTTCTCTGGAGCTGGTTCATCTGCGGTCTCGGTGCTTTTCTCAATCCGGGCCACACTGGGCTGCTCAAGTTCTTCCTGGACTTCCACGGGCAGCGAGCCTGTGTCTTTGCCCATATTCCACATTCCTCGAGCGTTTAACTTGGCTTCTAGCTCACGCATCTGTTGATGATAATCCTCGCTCAAAATAGTCCGAGTACTCCGTCCGTATTCATCTTCCTCATCTTCATCTTCATCGTCATACGCGAAAGCATCGTAGTCATCATCTATGGATATGTCACTTGCATCCTCGTCCAGCTCAAGCTCAGCCACAACAGCTCCAACTTCATTGAGTCCGTACTGCAGCATCTCACGGCGTAACTTAGCATCCTCGGGAGATTCATCGATATCCGTAATAGGCAGCTCCTCCTGCTTTTCAGTCGCCAAGTCAGACGTCGCCGGCTTCTTTTCAGAATAAGCTACGGGGCTTCCGCTAATCTCTCGCAAGTTGGACTTCTCCGCAATATCTCCATGCTCTTGTTTGCCCGCTGAGCTGGGCTCATCCTCCGCTTTGTATCCGGGCTGCGCATTTGCGTTCGGGGCGTCGGGTACATCATTCACGCCTGCCTTCTTGAGAAGCTCCAAGAGCTCTGGCGCCTGATCCCCGGGTGTCGCAGTTGAGCTCGAGATCACATTGCCATCCTCATCGAGTTCCTCAACGATCTCCGTCATGGGAAAGTCCGAGGTGGGTTCGGCTGGTAATTGCTCAGCAGAGTCAAATGCGTGTAGTTGGTTCTCTACCGAACGTAGTCGCTTTTCCATAGTCGTGACATTCTGTTTCACGTAGTCGACCCGCCTCGACACAAGATCGATGACCTGTTGTTTGGTCCTGGCCACACCTTGTTTCTCTCCGAGTATCACCTTGACTTCATCTTCGGTGACCAGCGACCCACCAAAATCGCGACCTATTCGAAGGAACTCGTCCATTGTAGCATCATCGTTGAGTTCGCTAATTTCGTCCTTCAAGGCATCGTACTCGGCCTCCCAGGTTCTCCAATGATAAAGAGATTCCTGTAGTTTCAAGATGTTGCCTTCGAGCTCGAGGCGTTGACGCTCAAGGTCCTGTAGATTGCTACCGGGAACACCCATCTTGGGCACTCAGTCGCAGGTGGTGGTATAAAAATTTACAGGTACCAACACCAAGCCAAGGGGCATAAAGAAGAAAAAAAAGTAGAAGGGGAGAGAAATGGGAATCGCCGCGGGGGCAAAGAAAAAAGTTCCGCCGCGCGGAACGGTCACCGAAGCTTTTGATTGGTCCGTGCGAGCAGTTGGATTTAGGTACATTGGGAACCAAACACCAAATGTCTCGACATCACTGCCACCCTTCTTTATCTTTCAGCACCATCCAACAATATGCCGCCTTCTCGCGAGTCGATGCAGAACCGTGGGGATGAGGACGGTATGTTTTGGACTATCAGTTCCCAAGAGACTCCTACGCTAATATCCTTTCAGAGGTCTGCCCCGTCTGCAAATCCTCGCGGTACTTGAATCCGGACATGCAATTCCTCATAAATCCAGAATGTTATCACAAGATGTGTGAATCATGCGTGGATCGTATTTTCTCCTCGGGTCCCGCCAACTGCCCTGTAGCCGGGTGCCACAAGACCTTACGAAAGAATCGATTTCGAAAACAGACGTTCGAAGATATACACGTAGAACGGGAGGTTGATATACGGCGCAGAGTCATGCAGATGTATGTTGGTATACACTATTCGGTACATGGGAGAAAAGTGAAATATCTAACGGCTACAGTCTCAACCGTCGCGAAGAGGAATTTGACTCGAAGCGAGCCTGGGATGACTTTCTCGAACAACGCGAGGAGATCATCGCGAATCTTGTCCATGGCACTGACGTAGCCAAAACTGAAGCCGATCTCCAGAAATATGCGCAAGAGAACATGCGCTCTATCCGCGCCAACCAAGCCTTGGAGGCCCAGGAAGCTTCTTCTTTCCAGGCACGACAGACTGAAGAGCAGGAGCTGGCTCGTCTCCGCAGGGAGGCGGTAAGACAGGAGTACGAGAATGAGCGCCGGGAGCTTCTTGCTGGACGAGAGGATGTTCTCAGTCGTCTTGCCGCTGGACGCCCAGGAGACGCTGCCACGATTGCACGTGAAGGCCAGAAAGTCCTTCTCAAGAAGTCGTCTGCCCGACGAAGTGAAGAGGACCGTATTCGACAGAAGCAAGCTGCCCTACGTAACTCGGATGCTAGAAAGGCTGGACAAGCTGGGACTACATCAACCGATAAGGCTGGCGATGCCGGTGATACTGGCCTTATTAAGGGCCTCAAGAGAATCAAAACACCGGAACCCGAGAAGCCTTACGATCCATTTGGTGGAATACTTCCGGACAAACGGGACTATTACACCTTGCGAGACTTCTACCCGTCCAGTTATCTTGACCCTATTAGACAAGATACTCGCATGCAGGCTGGCGGATATGATCTTAGAGAGTACTATTCGCGCACACTGCTCGAGGCATTCGCTGGGCTGGGATGCTTCATCGATGAAGAGGTATCAGAACGGGAAGCGGCGAATATGAATACTGTTGCAACAGAAGGTGCCGCCATGGCTGCGGCTTCGAGCGGCCCCGCGGGCAATGCGTAATTTGCCCAGAATCTTAGTGGAGAGGTCGGTAATTTTGGCATAGATTTATTTTGTTTTGATGTTGAGGCATCTATGGCGCATTGGGTTAGGTGCATAGCGATGGCGTTCTCTATATGTTGGAAAAAGGGCATTTCTCTTCTCTATATTGACTTAGCATACCACCACCCTTAACAATGCTTTATCCTGCTCCTTTCTTGTATCCTTTCATTGACTCTCAGGCCCCCAAACCAAGAAAATTAATAACGCTTTGAAGCAGAATGTTCGCAATACACTTGGCGTGCTACATCACTTCCAACACGTGGACAAGCATCATGCGATATCCATTATACTAGTCATATCTTCCGATTTTCTCAACCCTCTAAAATGATTGCAGCATGTGCAGCGGCTTTAAAGGAGCCATGCCCATTGAAATGTATTTTACAAGATGCCGTAATGGTTGATTATACAGCTGCAATGCAGATGGAACAAATCCTTTGAATTATCCACGCGCTCCTTAGTTGTTATGAAAGACAAACATACTGATGCCAAATGTCGACTAGGACTGGGTGTACAAAAAAGAAAGAGGATCAGCTCAATAACTTAGAGTAATATACAATATTCTAACCGCAACTCGTCATGATATTCACAACTTGCCCCCCGTGATCTGCTCACCCAACTTCTTGACTCTGCCCTGGATAAGATCCCAGCGAGCCGCCTCGCTCTTCCTGGATTCATTGACGATAGACTGGACGGTTGGGGGTAGACCCAAGTTCCAGACGTTCTCGCCCTGCTGGTGGTCATTGCGCCAAGCTTCGTTCTCACCCTCAGGGAACACGCGGTCAATCTCAGCTGCGAGCTGAGCTTCGGTAGTGATAAAGTTCCGAGCATTCATGTACAGTGTTTGCAAAGAGTCCTGCTGCTCAGCTTGTTTCTGGGTATTCGCAGCCTCCAACCGGGCCTTGGAGATAGTGAGACGCTCTTCCCGGTTGGGGTCTGGGAGCACCGGGGTGCGTGTAGGCAGCATCTCCTGGATGACCGAAGGACGGGTCAATCGCTCATCCTCTCTCTCTGACTGCCGGAAAATGCGCTCTCGCCGTTTCTGCTTCTCGACACTCCGCTGCATCATCGACTTATCCGTCCGCTGCTTCCGGCTGTGCAACTCCAGGAGACCTTCTCTAAGGTTTTGTCTCCTCATCTCTGCCATCCGGCGCTTCCAGTTGATGTATTGGGCATGTGGATCGTTCGGGGTGACATTGGTTTCTTTAGAAGGAAGGGGTGTTGCGGCAGCAATATATTCCTCGGACGGCTTGTCCGCTCTGCGAACGGGGAAGATTTCGCGAGGAACAGGCAGGGTACCCTTCACATGTTGCTTTGGAGGAAGGTCTGGTTGAATGGTGCGAGGGACATCGACAAAATTGGGCGATTCTGGTCCGATTCGAAGAGAGGCCGAGGAGGTGAAGCCACGGACTTGCACGGAGGCAGTCCTGCAACTGCGGAAGAGAGACATGGTAAACACTACCGTTTACTCCACCAAGACCAGTAATATCAATCGAATCTAAGAAGGGCGAAAAATATGCAGACTTTTAGACAGATTTAACTCGAAGAAATCAACTCTCGATCCGCAATTCGGGGACCCGGACCGGACGATGAGAGACGCGGTTCTGTTGCGAGGGCCGGAAAAAGATCGAAGCGATTTTCTCGCAAATGGTCCGTGCACTCTTAGCTTGGCTGCCGCCCCGAAAAAATAATTTCTTTCAGACTATGAACTTTTTTTTCTTCTCCTCTTCTTCTTCCTGCGCTCTGCCAACCTAATTTCTCTACCCCTGCCTTGAGATTTATTTCCGTATAAATCCCAGCTCAGGGACTAGAATTCATCATGGGTACAGGAAAGAAAGAGGCCACTCGCCGGGAGCGGCAGGGGAAGGTTGGAGATGGCATGGCTAATGTCAGGGTCAAGGGTGAAAATTTTTACAGGTCAGCTACCCACCATAACCTGATGATTTGTTCGTCGGCTAACTTCCATGAAGAGATGCAAAGAAGGTGAAGCGGCTGAATATGTACAAGGATGGTAAACCTCGGCGTGACGCTGAAGGTAACATCACCGTCGCCGCTTCGTATCAGTCTAAAGAGGCTCCCGTTGCCAGGATAGAACCCAACCGTAAATGGTTTGGAAACACAAGAGTGATCTCCCAGGAGGCGCTGTCATCGTTCCGTGAGGCGGTTGCTGAGCGTGCTTCGGACCCGTACCAAGTTCTCCTCAAAACCAATAAGCTTCCCATGAGCCTGATCAGAGACGGTCAAGGTGTGAATGGGCTGAAACAGCATCAAGCGAAGATGGCCATTGAGACCAACCCATATAGTGATACATTTGGGCCCAAGGCTCAGAGGAAACGTGTTAAGCTGGGTGTTGCATCACTGGAAGACTTGGCTGGCGAGACGGCCAAGATGCATGATGCCTATGTTGAGAAGTCAGATCATCAGACTCATGCCGACGGTTCGCTCGCCGTCTCTGGGGATGTTTCTGCTGTGCAAGACGGTGCGCATACTACGATGGCCACCGCAGTTGAGTCTGTCTTCTCAAAGGGTCAGAGTAAGCGAATCTGGAACGAGCTTTACAAAGTCATCGATTCCTCGGACGTTGTCATCCACGTCATTGATGCCCGTGACCCTGAAGGTACACGTTGTAGGAGTATTGAAAAATACATCCGTGAAGAGGCACCTCACAAGCACTTGATTTTCGTGCTCAATAAGTGTGACCTTGTCCCAACAGGCGTAGCGGTAAGACTCTCACTCTCCCCCTCTTACTTTACTTTATCCCTTTCTATTTATCATTCATTTTCCTACCTTTTTCATCCATCAGGCTATGATGCCTGTGCCATTGCTAAGTCAAGGCTTCTTCCAGCGACTATATGTCGTGCTATTCTCCATGGAAGTCTGTCTGTTACAGCTCTGGTAGATTGACGCTGGCCCGCGCCGACCTTCTTTCTGAAGCTAGGCTGATGGGCTTTCGTTTTGAAAGCTCGTCGTAAGGGCCGAGCTGTGCTCCGTTTTTGAGTTGAGTCCTGCTTCAGCCATCCGGCTGCTTCGTAGCAGGTCTCTTAGTAACGTTACACACATTCTATCGTTGAACTATTCTTGCATTGTTCTAAGTCTCGTGTTTACTGGTGTTCGAATGCTAACGAAAACACCAGGCGGCCTGGGTACGACACTTGTCTAAAGACCATCCGACGCTGGCTTTCCATGCCTCGATCAATAACTCATTTGGCAAAGGCTCTTTGATCCAACTCTTGAGACAGTTTTCCGCCCTTCACTCGGAACGGAAGCAGATCTCTGTAGGATTCATTGGCTATCCAAACACGGGTAAATCCTCTATCATCAACACATTGCGCAAAAAGAAGGTGTGCACTGTGGCCCCCATTCCCGGTGAGACAAAGGTCTGGCAGTATATCACTCTGATGAAGAGGATCTACCTGATCGACTGTCCCGGTGTGGTTCCCCCCAACCAAAATGACACGCCCGAAGATATTCTGCTTCGTGGTGTTTGTCGTGTCGAGAATGTAGAGAATCCTGAACAGTACATCCCTGCTGTTCTCAAACGCGTTCAGCCCAAACACCTTGAACGTACTTACGGCGTGAGGGGCTCTGATGATCCTTTGGAGTTCTTGGCTGTTCTTGCACGTAAGGGCGGAAGGTTACTCCGTGGAGGAGAGCCCGACCTTGATGGCGTTGCCAAGATGGTGATCAATGATTTCCTCAGAGGCAAGATCCCATGGTTTACCCCACCACCTCACACACCCGGTGAGGAGGGCGAAAAAATTAACGGCCGTGAAGGCCGACTCGGTGAAATGGGCCGGAAGCGGAAGATTGATGCAGTTTCAGAAGAAGCAGAGAAGAGCGAAGCCAAGTCTGGTCCTACATCTGATGGAGAGTTTGAGGGCTTCGGTGAAAGTGGCGATGATGATGACAATGACTCCATTGCAAACCTTGAAGTCAGCGACGAGGAGAGTGGCGAGGAAAATGACTGAGCTATTGTTAGCTCCTATTATTTACGAAATTAAGCCGCCGAAACAGAGGCTAGAGGCTTCCGCTGATCCACCCTTCAGCAACCCCCGTCGGAGCATATCCGAACCTACGCCGCTTCTCAAGCAGGGTAAGACCTCACCGACCAGGTCTGACGACCCTGGGCGCAGGTCTTTCGAGTCGAGAACCCTGAAAGTTGGTGTCAACCCATCCTGTCGTCGTTTACACGATATGGCTGGACGTACTACCTGGGCGACATTCTGCCGCAATGGGTGCATTCAAACATAAACTGATTCTTTTGGTCATGTACACCATTACAACTCAATATAGATACCCACATAGCTTTGAAAACAATCAATTATGATATGAAATGGTACGAGACGTGCATACAGTCTGCAGTAGTACTTAAAGTATGGTTACTGTTTATGCGCTAAGTGCTTCACCGCCGTAGCTCACGTGGGGCCACCCCAGACTCGCTTTCATCATAGCTCTTCTGCATGCACCAAAAGAACCTTTTCCTTATCTTTTCTATGAATTCTCCCCAAGAATCATATTTTCTTATTTCCCTCATTCAAGAGATGTGCGTGTCCTTTAAACATGGCGGACGACGGCATGTCCATTGTGCCCTACGGATCTTCTAACCTTGATGTCGTACTGTAAGATGACTTTGGTCCAAACTAGTAAACATGATTCTAACGGTCATTGTGTGGCAGACGCCATAATGACTCAGTCGTGGTTTTTGATCGTGACTCTCAGCAGCTCGTTCTCCGAAATGCTACCGAGAGCAATGCCGACATTGACTTAACTGACTGTCCCTATTGCCATCGTCCGCTACATGACAGCGGCGGGGGACAAGAAGGTCGCCATACAAGTCCAGGAGGGCAGCCCGAGTTTATCAACCCCAATTATTTCCGCATGCTTCATAGAAGTTTACCTAGCTCTGCAACTTCGTCAACTTCATCGTCCCCCAACCGACGCCTCGTCCAGCCAGCTCTTCCAGACGGCCCCACCAGTGAACCAAGTGGCGGAACCTCTGGATCCCAGGGTATATCATCCGGGGCATTCACACCCAATTACTTTAAGAAGTTCTTTGTTGAGGAGGGTATACTAGGCAAAGGTGGAAAAGGCGTTGTCTTGCTCGTGAAACATGTATTAGACGGCGTGTCGCTGGGGCACTACGCTTGCAAGCGTGTGCCCGTCGGGGATGACCACGAGTGGCTTGAGAAAGTCTTGGGAGAAGTTCAATTGCTGCAACATCTCACACATCAAAACCTCGTCTCCTACCGTCATGTATGGCTTGAAGATGCGAAGATCAGCACTTTTGGGCCAAGCGTACCCTGCGCCTTCATCCTGCAGCAATATTGCAATGCAGGCGACCTGCACAACTACATCTGTGGATCGGTACAAACATCTACAACCGCTCAGCAATTGAAAGAGCGCCTTAGGAGGAGGTCCAGAGGTGAGCCAGATCCTCATACCGATGCCAACGAACCTCGCAAACTCCACTTCGAAGAAATATATTCTTTTTTCAAAGATATCACATCCGGTCTACGTTATCTCCATGCCAACGGCTACATTCACCGTGATCTCAAACCTAACAACTGCTTACTGCACAAAACCAGTGATGGTATACGCGTATTGGTCAGCGACTTCGGTGAAGTTCAGGCTCAGAATTCGATCCGGCTGTCTACCGGGGCGACCGGGACTGTGTCGTACTGCGCACCTGAAGTATTGCGTCGTGAATCCCCCGGAGGACCGTTTGGCAACTTCACGTTCAAATCGGACATCTTCTCTTTGGGAATGATTCTCTACTTTCTATGTTTCGCACAGCTTCCTTACAGTAATGCCGACCTTATCCATGAAGAGAGGGAAGATCTTGATCGACTTCGGGAAGAGATCAGCCAGTGGGCGGGTTTTGATGATGCTCGGAGGATGAGACCTGAATTGCCTGAGCAACTGTATACCTTTCTGGAACGGCTATTATCTGTGAACCCTGATCGTCGACCATCTGCAGATGATGTTCTGAATGGTCTTCAGGCTGGGGCCAGTGTGAATGATAACATACGATCCAGAAGGACTGGCTCTTCTAGTTCTGACGGAAATCCCGGCTCTAGGATGCAATTTGCTGAAAACTCAACAACTGCTTCTTTCTCCCGACCACCTACATCTCCAAGAAAACCATTTTCACGAAGTCCGGTGGCTCTCCGACGCAACCCCCCCTACGAGTCCAGTGGGGGTGGACCGATGGCCTTTGTCGACGATCTGGGCCCTCATGATGAAAGGAGAATGTCGCTAGGCCCCGAAAGAGATATGATCGTTCGAGGGAGGTACTCAAACACCCCGTCTCTTCCACCGGTCCGGAATGAGCCCTCTGATGTTCGTGAAAATCGTGAACCTCTTCAACATTTACTCCCTCCACCATCGAGCGGCTCGTCCCTGGCCAGGTTTCTTCCATTATCATCAAGCACACTTCGTGACTTGCAGATTCCGCTACCTACAGTTCAACTGAGCTTTTTTCTTCTCAAGGTTGTTTCAGCGTTCCAGCCCTGCAGTCCTCTCGCGGTAAATCCTTGGATGTTTTACCCTTTGCTACTGCTAGCAGCATTAAACCTACGGACTCAAAGCACCGGCATGCAAACAATGTTTCTGATAATACACCTTGTTGCCGTTAGCCTTAGCATGCAGTTTGGCGTTATGTGCCTTTGGCAGACTCCACGATTGATGATGTTCTCAAAATAAAGACCGCTCTGGCTTTTGTACTACCAGAACTCGACATTCCCGGCTTATGTTATTTTCTCTCCATGCAGCGCAGTTTATCCATGAATGTACGCAATCACGAAGTTTGTTTTCTTTTGAGCGCATGGCATGTATACATAAAATAATGGAACAATATCTACAAACTATTCTACAGTGAAATTCCGCCCCCAGCGTCTGTTACGGAGTTGTGCATAATTGAAACTCGTTTGGTAAAGCATCTAAGACTCCAATAAAACATTAAGCATGGATATTTTTCTGACAACGGAGATGGCTCAAAAATTGTGGCCTACAAGTAGATACAGCTCAAGCCTTAATGAAAACACTTGTGAAATACCCATAAAATGAACAAGAAATCAACCGACTTAATGACTCTCCCAAAACTGCGCATCCATAGCAATCAGTCGATTAAACAACTGATTCCTTCCTCGCATACCAGTAAGATGATAAGATTGATAATGGGGCTCCATCCTTGAAATCACTAATCCATCAATGGAATGCTTGGTATCAGCTGTCAACTCAACAATCAGCTTCCCCTTCCAGCCCAGCCCCTCCGTCTTCTTCAGTTCCTTGATCTCGGTAATAGGAATCTGGAACAATACGGCACTCTTCTTCTGATTCTCCAGTTGCAAATCATCTAGTTTAGCAGATTGAGTAGTCGTGAAATAGAGGACGGGTTGCTCTTGTGATGAGTCGATGACAACTGTACCTCGCTTGCGTTCAAACTTCGCCTCGAATTTGAGAGGCCCCAGAGGGGCTGCCGTAGCCCAGCCTCGTCGGCTTAACAGGCCAATTAAGGTCTTCGTGTTAACCGATTCTGTGACCCTCATTGCGCGGTCAAATGCAATGTGACCTTTCATTGCTGTTGCGATTGTTCGGCCGATGAATCTGAGGATCTTGGACCATTTTTTCTTTCGAGCTTCCGCCTTTGAAAGCTCTGGCTTAGGGCTTTGAGTTTGGGATACGAGAGATGAAGAGGCGCCCTCGTCATTTGCGCCAGACATTATCTTACCAAAAGGTTTGCGACGAATAGGCCATAAGGGTTCATTGTTGTACGAGCTTGGTGGTGGAGGTAACGGTGTGGAGTTGATTTCACCTAGACGAAGGAGGGCCAGTGTGAGTTGGGCGTTTGTTGGTACGCCCTTTAGAAGGGTACTGGAATGTAGTTAGCATATATAGTGTTCCCCTACCATTAAGGAGATTTACTTCTGTAAGTTTAGATACTCTTTCCAATTTGCAACTTTGTCGTTCAGGAGGGCTATAATGCGTTGTAGGACAGGGTCACCAAAGATGGCCAGCCCGAAGAAAAAGCTACCAGACTTGATCATAAAATGGCTCGATGTGACGAGAGATATCAGCCCTATAGATATCAATGCCCCCACCAGTTGCAGACGAGGTGTAATGGCAAGGAATGGTGGTGTGGGGGATAGAATACTATAATGGCCTTGGTCAGGGACATTTCTTAGTTTGCGTACTGCGATAAGTACTAACTTGAAAAATTGCTCATATATATCTGTAATATCACCAAGTATACGCATCGTCTGGTTAGTGGCTTTTGATATCTTCTTCTTCATAGGTTTTTTAGTTTTATCTTCGGCTGGTGCATTCTCGGCTTGCACGTCTGCGGTGATTGCCCCGACCTCGACTGGTTCAGGCTCGGAGGACTCCTCAGCATCGTCGTCAATTACTGATTGGCCGTATTTGCCTCGAGCACTCTCCATGGCGATATTGGCGATATCGTTGACCAAGTTGGAGGCCTCCTGTTCCGCTGCTTCGCCTTTGTATGTTTCTGGGGCACTGGTGATGTTATCCCGCGTGACCTGCTCGCTGCCACCAGTATCTGAGCCTTTCCTTGCAGTGCTACTAGGAGGGAAAAGCAGTGATCGCGTCGACGGGGACAGGATCAACGCAACAAGAACACCGGTTGTCAAAGGAATAAGTAGATCCAAAAACCATGCAACGAAGTATGCCTTTGAACAAATTAGTTTGATACCAGTCCGTATGTTCGGTACAGAAACTCATAACTTACTATACAGAAAGTCGAGGTACGTCTAGGCTCTCTCCATGACCGCAGTCTAGTGGTGTGACTGAAGAAATTAACCAACCCTACAACCACAGAAGTATAGAACCGTTCAGTAGTTGCCCGCAGCTTTTCTGGTGGAAAGTGTTCCTCGTCTGCCCGGTTAAGATCCAACTCATCCTGGGGAGGGCCTTGTATGGCTTTAACATGGTGTATTTGCTACTCGAGGAGTCATTAGAATGATTGTATAACTCCTCTAGATCAGATAAACTCGACATACCTTGTTAAACCTCCGAATGAGCAACCATAGATCCTCATTAGACAGATCGGGCGTGAGTTGTTCATCTACTGTTTTGGAAGCCTGCTTCCACTCGACGTCTGACCGTTTTCTATTGTAGTTGATCTTTTGAACGGTATTGCTTTCCCCTGGCGCTAACAGGGCATGATCATGGGTATCCGTATCTTCGAACCCACCAGGTATTTCTTGTTCGTTGCTCATCGTATATCAAATCCTACTCCAGACGAGTCCAAAAATTGATTCTTGCAAGTAGTATAATCATAGACATTTGCAAGAGGCACCCACGGACGACAACTTGTCGTCCTCGCAGATCACATATCAGTATTCCCTCATCCTTCTAATTGGCCAATATCCAGCACCGCCTTATACCCGTGGCAGTATATCGATAGCTTCTATCATCTTTAGACTCATGTATTTACCGTTGTAAGTACTATCCCATGAAGCTATAGAAACAGAAGAAGCTTCACTCAAGACTGCAGAGCATCTATTCCACTCACCTGGAATCAAACAAAGCCATATCCTGGGGCTAATCTTACACGTGACTGCGCGACAAGCTCCTTCGCTCGGCCGTAGAAATTCTAGAAGCCGCGGCGCTGCGCATGGTCAACGGCGATCCCGAAACATCATCTTTCAGTCGCTATTTGCATTCGCCATCATGGACGATATCGTCATGAACGGTTCGTCGGAGGTGCTTCCTCCACAACCACCTCCGGAACCTATCGAGCGACCTCCTACTCCCCCTCCGCCTCCCCCAGAAGATTCCGCCGCCCCTCCTCCGCCGCCAGATGCCGCCGCGCCTCCACCACCGCCCGAAGACCTTCCTCCTGCACCTCCGCCACTTGAACCAAAGAAGAAGAAGGTGGGGTGGGGCGCGAAGAAGCCAGCAGCTACACCGCTGAGCGTAGAGGAACTGGTTCGCAAAAAGAGGGAAGCTGATGCGGCAGCTGCTAGGGTATGTGTTTTTCTTATCTCTTGTTTTCTAAGACCTTGTGATATGATGTCAATTCGGACTGGTTTGCTCTGAGAGCTGCTTGTAAATGTACATGGCTAATAGGGAATTTTCTATACAGCCGAAATTCTTGTCGAAAGCCGAGAGAGAACGACTCGCCTTGGAAAAACGAGCAAAGGAAGTCGAAGCAGAGCGAAAGCTAAAGGCATCCAACGGTGTCGACAGGAGTGCGACTCAGTCGCCTTCAGTCAGCTCTGAAGTCAATAACGGCGATGGAAGGTCTATACCCACCGGCCCCCGGGCCATGAGAGGCTCAGACGCTCCTACCGCACCAGCTGCTATGCGCAATTCTCACTCCCATAATAAAAACCGCGACCTATCGCCGCCTCCACCGCCAAAGTCAATGCCTTCCGGTCTTACAGGTTCGAAAGGCGACAAGCGACCAGTGGACGACGATGAAGTAGCTGCTCAGGTGGCATTGGTTAAGCAGAGGTACATGGGCGCAGACCAGACGTCGACTTTCTCAGCAAAGAAGAAGCGGAAGAGGACAACAGACCGGAAGTTCAATTTCGAGTGGAACGCAGAAGAAGACACAAGTGGAGACTATAACCCCCTGTATCAACATCGACATGAGGCGAACTTCTTTGGACGTGGTCGACTGGCAGGTTTCGGAGACGATGTCGCCGACAACGTGGCGAAGAAGTACGCAAGAGCCTTGGAGGACCGTGACCACGAAGCGGGAGGTATTCGGGCCCGAGAGATCCTGGAAATGGAGCGCCGGCGGAGAGAAGAGAGCACCCGCAACCAGCTTGACAAACACTGGAGCGAGAAGAAACTGGAACACATGCGCGAGCGCGACTGGCGTATCTTCAAGGAAGATTTCAACATCAGTACCAAGGGTGGGAGTGTACCGAACCCCATGCGGTCGTGGGATGAGTCCGGTCTTCCCAAACGTCTCATGGAGCTTGTCAACAAAGTTGGCTACAAGGAACCTACGCCCATTCAACGTGCTGCTATCCCTATTGCCATGCAGTCTCGCGATCTTATCGGTGTCGCCGTCACCGGTTCCGGTAAGACCGCAGCCTTCCTACTCCCTCTGCTAGTCTACATTGCCGAACTGCCTCGCATCGATGAGTTCGAATGGAGAAAGAACGACGGTCCCTACGCCATCGTCCTCGCCCCGACCCGTGAATTGGCCCAGCAAATCGAGATCGAAGCAAAAAAATTCACAGAACCCCTTGGCTTCAACGTCGTCAGTATAGTCGGAGGTCACTCCTTCGAAGAGCAAGCCTACAGTCTCCGCAACGGCGCAGAAATCATCATCGCCACCCCAGGTCGTCTAGTCGACTGCATCGAACGCCGCATGCTAGTCCTCAGCCAATGCTGCTACGTAATCATGGACGAAGCAGACCGCATGATCGACCTGGGCTTCGAAGAACCCGTCAACAAGATCCTCGATGCCCTCCCAGTCTCCAACGAAAAGCCCGACACCGAGGAAGCCGAAAACTCAATGGCCATGAGCCAACACATCGGCACCAAAGACCGCTACCGCCAAACAATGATGTACACAGCCACAATGCCCACAGCGGTCGAACGCATCGCCCGCAAATACCTCCGTCGCCCGGCCATTGTCACAATCGGTAGCGCTGGCGAAGCCGTCGACACCATCGAGCAGCGCGTCGAGTTCATCGCAGGCGAAGACAAGCGCAAGAAGCGTCTGGGCGATATTCTCTCGTCCGGCGAATTCCGGCCGCCAATCATCGTCTTTGTCAACATCAAGCGGAACTGCGATGCTATTGCCCGCGAAATCAAACAATGGGGTTTCTCCTCTGTTACTTTGCACGGTAGTAAGACCCAGGAACAGCGTGAAGCCGCTCTGGCGTCTGTGCGGAACGGCCAAACGGATGTTCTGGTCGCCACCGATTTGGCTGGTAGAGGTATCGATGTTCCCGACGTCAGTCTGGTTATCAACTTTAACATGGCGACTACTATTGAGAGTTACACCCATCGTATCGGTCGTACCGGTCGTGCGGGTAAGAGTGGTGTGGCTATCACATTCTTGGGTAATGAGGATACGGATGTTATGTACGTTTTCCCTATTCTTACTCTCATCTTGATGGTGGCTCTGGATGGTTATACTAATGGCTTTATAGGTACGATCTCAAGCAGATGCTTATCAAATCACCCATTTCTCGACTACCAGAGGAGCTGCGCAAGCATGAAGCCGCACAATCGAAGCCCACGCGCGGGTTTGCGAAGAAGAATGATGATAGCTCTGCGTTCGGGTCAAAGGGGGGATGGTGATGGTCTAATGCCGGGTGTTAATGTCCATATGATATCAAAATATAAAGGAAGGTTTTTCATTCCTCTCGTATTATATAATCACTGCATAGAGATCGAACAGGGCTTAAATATCACATTAAATTCCCCTATTATGTATACTCAACTTTACATGTACTCGTTAGAGAGCTGAATGGTATTTTCTAGTATACATCGGAATTTGGTCCGGATCTTAAATGATTAACCCGGCTAGGCCTGACGCAAGGGTTTGTGACAGGGCCATTGGTCCCTAATGTGACCATCATGCTATACTCATAATTGTATATTTGGGATAGTATGCTATACCTCACAGCTTGCCATCGCGGAGATAGCCATTCGACTTGAGCCAAGATTCCACGTCAGCGCGGTCACGGTTGATCCAGTTGATCTTAGCCCGAATGGCATCAAGACTCTGCTCAACGGCACGATCAAAGCCCTAAAGAGGTATTAGTCACTGATAACAGGCTTCTTGTACAAATCGAACTTACCTTAGTATCCTTGTCCTTGAAGAAGTCCTCCACCTCCTTCAACTGCGCCTCAGTGCAGAAGCTGGAAGTAGTGAGCTGAACAACAGTACCCAGCATACCAAGTCCTGGAGGCAAGCGCTTGTAGAGTGCATCCCAGTTGTTCTTCATCCAGGCCCAGCGAGCCTCAATACCCGCTGTGTGGTTGCGCAGACCGCCAAGAGGCATGTAGATATCCTGGTTCTTAACTTCATCACTGAGGGCAAGACCCAGAGTACGTTGGATGAGGGCCGGATCTTCAGCAGAGCCGAGGCAGCGAAGAGCAGTGGTCTTCTCATCAGAAGTAGGAGCATTGCGGAACCGGTCGTACACGACATCGTACTCCTTCTCGCCACCGTTCTTCAGAACGATGCTGAAGACGCTGCCGCGGATGTTCGGATGGATGGCGCTAGTTTCGCCCGCAGCAAAGCGTTGGAACATGTCCTGGGCGGCCTTGACAACAACTGGATCCTCAGCAGAGCCGGCACTGCTGAACAAGAGCGCCTTGAACTGTTGCAAGATGTGACCATCCTTCTCCGAGAATTCCCAGCCGATCTCGTGAGTCTTGGAGCTGACCAAAGCGCGCTGGAACGTCTTCAGTGCGTCCTTAGCTTGGCTATCCTCGAAGAACCATGCAGCCCGGAGGGTGCCAATGCGGGCCACGATCTCATTCCACACAATAAACTCAGATTCGTTGTCAAAGCCCTTAAGAAGCGAGAGCAAACCAGAAGTGCTTTGATAACCAGACGAAGCGAGGGCACCAGCATCTGCAATCATACCGGCGCGGTCTTCGACGGTCAGCAGGCCCTGCTTGGCCGCCTCACCAAGCTTAGTGAGCCGTTCAGGAGTATAGGAGGTACGATAGATAGCAGAATGGTCAGCGTTCAGCTTGTAGAAATCAAGGTCCGGTACCTTAAACTGGCCCTCACGCCCAGTCAACATGGTATTCTCATCAAGACCTTGCTTGGTACGCAAGCCCAACATGACAGGGTAAAGAGTAGTGTCCTCTTCTGGGCGGACATCACCAGTACGCAAGAAGCGGTTCTGAGTCAATTTGATCGACGAGCTGGCAGCATCCTCGGCCACAGTGACCACAGGGAATCCGACATTCTTGGTCCAGATGTCCATGACCTGCTCGACAGGCTTTCCACTTGCGTCAGCGAGAGCGGCCCACAGATCACCAGTCTGGGTGTTTCCATAAGCGTGCTTCTTGATGTAGTTACGGACACCCTGGATGAAAACGTCCTCTCCCAGGTACTTAGAGATCATACGCAGGACAGAGGAGCCCTTCATGTAAGAAATGGCATCGAAGATCTGGTTGATCTCATCGGCACGCTTGACAGGCACCTCAATAGGGTGGCTACTACGCAGTGAGTCGAGGGACAGTGCGCCCTGCAAGCTGTCAATGACGTATGTCTGCCAGACCTTCCACTCTGGGAAGAAGCTGTTGCAAGAGTACCACGACATCCAGGTTGCAAAGCCTTCGTTGAGCCAAAGACCATCCCAGAAATCCATGGTGACAAGGTTTCCGAACCATTGGTGAGCCAGTTCGTGCTGAACAACCTCGGCGATACGCTCCTTGCGCGAAGCACCGCTGTTCTTCTCGTCCAAGAGCACATCGACGATACGATAAGTGATCAGACCCCAGTTCTCCATGGCACCTGCACTGAAGTCCGGCACGGCGACCATGTCCATCTTAGGGAGTGGGAAAGTGCTATCAAAAGCCTTCTCATAGAACGCCAGTGTCTTAGCAGCCAAATCCAGCGAGAAGCGACCATGCTCAATATCCTGATCCGGAGTAGCATACACACGGATGGGGACACGGAAGTCCTTCGTCTCGATGTAGTTCAGATGGCCGACAATGAAAGCCACCAGGTAAGTGGACATGAGCGGGGAAGTGTTGAACTTAACGAGTTTCTTGCCGCCCTCGACATCAGTCTCGGATGCCACGTCCATGTTGCTCAGGCAAGTCATGCTCTTGTCAGCGATCAAGGTCACAGTGAACTTGGCCTTGAGGGCAGGCTCGTCGAAGCAGGGGAACGCTCTGCGGGCATCCGTGGGCTCCATCTGAGTCGAAGCAATATACTTGGTCTCGCCATTTGCCGTCTTGTAGGATGACCGGTAGAAACCGGCCATATTGTCATTGAGGATGCCGGTGAAGGTAAGCTTCAGCTGGGCGGAGGATCCGGCGGGGATCGTCTCGGCGAACTTGACGGTAGCTACCTGGGTATCCTTGTTGACGGAGATCTCCGGGCTAGAGGTGACGACTGAGCCCTGAGCGGAGACAATGGCATTGTGGATTTCGATCTCGTTGGAGTTAAGGGAAATGGAAGTGGTGTCTTCGGTGACCTGGAGGCTACGCTAACCATGAGTTTCGATGATGGACAGATGGGTATCAAATGGATACCTACTCGATCACAACAGTACCCTCATATTTGAAGGCCTCGAAGTTCGGCTCCAAAGTCAGGTCATAATGGACCGGCTTGACATTGGTGGGCAGGACCTCACGTCCATGGGTGATGTTCGTCGAGCCCGAAGGCACGTCAGCACGACGACACATCCTGCGATAGGAGCAGTAACGCTTGGAGAGTTGAGAAAGGGGAGAACGGCGGGAGGATAGGCGGGTTGCGGAGGGGGATGAAGCGGAGGAGGGAGAAGAAGTAGCAGTCGTAGAGGAAGAGGGGACAGATAAGGAACGAGAGAAGAGGAGGGGACTTCTGGAGGGGAAGGAAAGCGGTGGCTTCTTCGCTGAGTTTAGTACCAGCGGCGGTAACCGCGTAGAAGAGAAGCGACGCATGGACCCCGCTGAATGGAAGGGCAAGGATAACAGAAAGGTGGAAAGGCGGAAGAGGGGCAGTTCCCAATGGGCTAATCAGACGGAACAAGCGCCAGAACAATACCACCTAAAACAACCCAGGCTATGGAGCAGACAATGAATGCGAAGTGTTGATTTGATTGATTCCACATCATCAGGAAAATCACGGCGGTTGACCCCTTGCGGCAGGCGGTGAGACTCGCCTCCCGTTCCTCCTCGGCCAATCGGTTGCCCGTCCCCGGCCAGCTGGTTGCCCAATCTAGCGGCGGGAATATAGTTGTTCCGTGGAATTTTCTGCTTATATTCTTTCGTCCGCTGGCTCGTCTACTTGACCATCATACATATACATTCTTTCAGCAAGTAGTACTCACATACAGCTGATGCCATGTTTTCCTCCCCACAGGCAGACCGTTGTCGAGCTGTCCTCTCGAGGGCAGTACTTGCAAGACCGTACACCAGCCAGTTTGAGGGGCCCATGACTGCAATCTCTTTGCATCTTTTGTGCATGGGCATTCCATAGATGACTGGGACACATCACTTTATTCATAATTTTTTTTTTTCAAAAAAAAAAAAATAGTCTATTAATCAAAATAATCAAAACTTTTCATATCTATAAAATATATAAAGATAGGTCTATACTACAATTAAGAATCGAAGTGGTATCCGTAACATGTTGAACCGGGGTATAACTTTGTTGACCAAACCAAATGTGCAAAATCAAAAAAAAAAAATTCCCCAGAAATTCCCAACTCCAAACAAATGCTTCGCTGTAAACATTATGATTACGCTTGATAATAATGATGTTGAATCTTGAACTCATGAATCATGTCCAGGTCGCCCTAGACAATCTTAGAAATGCTGTTGCTGCTCCTGTTGCCACTGCTGCTGGCGCTGTTCTGCTTCCGCCAACGGCAGACGCGAGATGACACTCCGAGACCAGCCGTCAGCATCCACCACAGTTTCCTTGACCATCACGTAGTTGCCCCAGCGTGGGAGCAACACGGCCCACACAAGGTAATAAATGCCACCGGCGGCGAAGATACCAAGGGCCACCACGCAGTGCAGGTAGTATGGCAGTTCCTCGTAGACGCTCTGTCCGGCACTGGGGGGCACGTACGGCGCCACCACCAGATACATGTTGGACAGGCAGAAGAAGATGGTCACAGGAAGTGTCGCGCGGATACCGGGGTTCCAGTCGGGGAACTTCGTCTTGTGGGTGAAGTAGACATAAATGAGGCCACCAGATACAAAGACGTTGATAATGGCGAGCGGGTACGAAATAAGGTTGACCAAGAAGTTATAAGCGTCTCCTGGAGGGGGAGCTAACAGGATGATGATCGACACGATGTAGTGCTCAAACAGACCAGCGGCCGGCGCGTTGAATGGCTTGTTGCTAGCGAAAAACTTCGAGAGAGGCAGGACACCTTCACGTCCCAGCTCTTGGACGATTCGACCTTGCGAGAAAATCACCGACAAGACATTGCCAAATGCCGATAAGGCGACGAAGACCGACATGACTTTCTCGGCCCGCGGGCCAAACATGTTACCGAAAAAGACGGCGGCGACAGTCTGGCCGGAATTAAGAAATTGTTCTCGGGGCACGGCGGCGAAATAGGCGATGTTGCAGAGCATGTAAAGAATTCCAACCGACCCAATGGCGATAGGCG